ATGGGACATTATAATGTACACAAGGAGATTGTCAATATCATACGGAATTCTTACTACAGACTGCATTGCGAAATCGTGCATGCAGAGTGGCTTACAGATCCATTTCAAGGGAAGACTGATATCAAACAAGACTGCTTATTTCCATCCTTTCATTTTCTTCTAGTGGTTGGCTGGATTATGAAAATCTCAACATCTCAGAGGATGCACGGAATATAGTCAGTCGTGGGATACGTTGACCAGACATAATCAACAACAAGTTCCTGTGATAGAAAGAGAACATGATTTCAACTGATGAACAAATTAAGAAATTTCTCTGGAGGTGGATGGGGCATATATTGCTGTAACCACCATAATGCAACATAAGGTAAGCCTTAACTTGGATTCATCATTGCCGAAGGAAATGACGCAGATCGTAACACATGTTAATTGAAAGGACGACGTAATAACAGCGCACTATAACCAAATAAAGCTAGATCGAACACAGTATCTGCCGATGCTCAGTTCATGAATCCACCGCCTGCTACCACTTTTTATGAGATACCACCTGAAGGGGGAACAGCATATCCTTGTCTGAGACCGGGCACAGAGGACAGTGCCTCCTTAGGAGAGGGGGTGGTGTAACAGAGTCAAAATCACCATGTATGATGTTGCTAACCCGTCCTGTTTTCTTTCTATTTCAGGCCGAGCAAACGTAAACACTTTGGAGGCCGAAGAACGGGCGCTGAGTGATCTGAACATACAGGATGACTCTTAAGACTTTGATACCATAGCAACCCTTCTCTGTAAGATTCCGCGTGTTTCAATTTTTAAAAATAAACGAGTGCCGTGGCAACCACTTCTTGTTCTCTCTTGGTGTGAGGTGCTCTACTAACCTTGTGTGTTGTGATTGTAGATCCTACCCGCCTTCCAGTGCTTGCTGATTACACGTGTTAAAACTAAATTTTGTTTGAATAAACCTTTTTCCTCATATTTTTTTTAATATTTACTTTGTCGAACAATCCATCGATTTCTCAATTAACTAAGTGAACACAGACACTTTATTAACAGTCACACAAATTTAAAGAATCCCAACCCAACATCTATGGATACTGTATCACATTTTTGAATCAGTTTAAGGCTTAATGGAAAAGAAGTACTATTATACAAATGAGTACTGACAAGTGTAATGCCTACATCCTTAATCGGTTATTGTCAATAATCAAAGGCTACATTCAATTATTACTCACTTACATTGATAGTTGTTAAAATATATATCAATTTCTATCCAGAAAAAAATTAACTAACTAGCTGTTTGTTTGTACTTATCTAACAAGATGACAAAATCTACCGATGTTGCTTTATAAATGTAGTATATATATTTTGGGTTGAAAATTAATCATAATATCTAAGAAGTTATTTGTGACTACTTATAAAATTAATCAATAGTTGATGTTAGAAAATAATTCGATTTTAGGCACAGTCTTCACATAATGTTGGGGACGTTAGATCCCCAGAACTCGCTTGATAAATACCTTACTTTGGAGTTCACGATTGAGAGCATGGGCTGATCAGTTGACCTCGAGACTTCATTTCCTACCAGGAAAGTCCTTGGCTGTGATTGGCTGCTGTGTATTTTAGTGTGCTATTTTTGTGACTGTCCCAAGGACGTTTCTATGATGTGTAAATAAAAGAGATTTGTGTGCTTGATTGCATTGTACTTGCTGAGTGTTTGTACAATATATTTTCTACGCTATATCAAGACTTCTCGTTATCCGTTACGAGTCAACGGATCAAGGTAGCCTACCTGGACACTGGTTCATTGTCTCGTTCGCGTTTGTCGACTAAAGTGAACCCATAATAGTTTCAAGCATACTTAGTGACGAACCTAAGACATAACATATAGGCGTTAATCATGAAATACTAGTCAAAGAAAACCTATTTATTATATTGACAGAGAAAACTAGGTGGCAATAAATAGTTATTTGAAGGAGAGCGTTTGCCAGAAAACTAACTCTTATTTTATTAGATGACGGAATAATGAGTGAATATCTACGTATTTTTTTTTGATAATTTACAAACTGAACTCCAAATCTTGAATAAATTTTGTACTTACTTTGTTTTGTATTAATTTAGCAACAACACTGTAAGATGGACTAAAATGAAATTATCAATACGAGATTATTGTTGTCATTTCTTATCTGAAAAATTAAAGTAATCTAGTTGGATAGAAATAATAAGCTTAATTTTCTACTATTTAACTCTTGACCAACTCATTATATGACAATATTTACTTTTCTGATAATATATAAATTACCCACATAATTGTGTAACTATATTGTCCATAAATTTAAGCGAGTGTAAAAATAGGAGCATTCAATTCACTGTTTACTGATATTTTCATATTGATAAATAAAAATTGATTTGTGACGAATATAACGAAAGATGAAAATTGTTTTATTCACTGATTGTTACTGACAAATTCAAAATAACATTCTTGAAACATTATCTAATTACCTGGAAATGAAAGAATAATTTAAACAAATTTTTTACAGATTCTAAATATTTCAGTAAAAACAAACTAGTTTTTTAAACATGTAGTTAGTTCATTTAAAAAATAAACTAACAATAATAATCCTAATTTTCTAAATTTTGAAGAGAACTAGTATACAAGTCAATTTTCTTCTAAATTTATGATTTATTCAGTAAATACTAATTTGTTTTTTAAATTACGTTCATTCGTGTATTTTTATACCAGTAAAATAATTAGATCACATGATTTCTACTTCATTAATGGTTATTAGTGACCTCAATTAATAATAATAATCATAATAATTAAGTAGAAACATTTCATTAGAAAATCAATAATTTCAAAAAGCTTGATAACGAATCCTCAGGTGATATTACTAAGTTAGCAATGAAAAAAAAAATTAGCATAGAAAATGAAATAAACGAATAAGTAATTAAGATTATGATAATAAACGCCATTTCTTTTCGCCTCTGATTTTTTTTGTTTTTACTTATTCGTAGTACATTTACCTAGAAGAAAAAAATTCTATTTATTAATTCCTGGTTGTTGATTTCCAAAGATTGAAAAGAAAGTCAACTTACTTTTAGAAATTCACTGAACTCTGATTTATAGGAGAATTTAGATTTTTATATGCATTTATTTTAATACTATGTCACCTATATCAGTTGGCAGTATAAATTTGTGAATGACAAATCAGAACCATTCAAAAATAAACAAAGACTGTTCATTTCTTAATGATTTATAATTAACGTAAACATGAACATTTCAGAAATCGAACAGAATATAAACATTCATATAGTTCATTATTTAGAGCTATTAGTCAGTTAGACTAAGCTAAAGTGCTTTCATCTCTTATTTGGTTTACTACAGTAGTGAAATGCTATTTGTTGTTAAATGTTTCCAAGTTAGATCTGAATCAACATTGTACTATGTATCCAATCTTTATTTCCTTAATGCTTAGTTAGTTATAGTTTGTTTAAATTAGATAACCTACTATCCAACTGTTGGCAAAAACTGACGCCTACTCTTAAATCATCAATAAAAAATATACGCACATGTTTGTATGGCTGAAAAAAAGGCATTAACAAGCCGTTAAAGTAAATCATCACAACTACGCATTGATTCATGAAATAGAAGCGACTAATTTAAAAAGCAAAATAAATCAATGTGATTCATCATGTTCAGTGTATATATTTTCTGTATTCCATAAAAAAGGCCAGTTCAAATCAATTGACATCGACTCAAACTATCTCAAGTCAAAACTAATTAGCTTGTTGTTTTATCATTATGATCAAAAATCAATCTATATTCCTTCATCTGAATTAAAAACTCATCAAAATATGATACACTCCAAAAACTATTCAGTTAATAAGTGGAAAATTCAATAAATTTCTTCTTTGTAAAAAGGTTACACAACAAATGACACTTGACAACTTTCACATCTTTTCATCAAAAAGCAGATTTCTCCTAGTTTTGAAGAAAACGTCAAGGTTATGAACCACTTGGAAGTTTCATTTATCAATAAATAATGAACTATCATTTTGATAACTTCATCTAACTCTTGATAATTATTTAAGATGTACCACTCTGTAATATAAATTTGAATGTAGTAGTCGTCGATTAAAATACTGGCTTGAACAAGAAATCACATCTGCTTGAAACCTATGCCGATTAACACCAAATCCATTGAAAAAAAAAATCACTTGTTTAAAACTTATATCATACACAGTTTGTGAAGTGAACAGATACACTCACTCACTATACAACTAGCACACATTATACAAGGAACTATTATTTTATTCTAGAAATCAATTACAATGAGAATCAATATTTTACAATCAATTTATGTAAATAATTATTTCCAACAGATAATCAATTAATTTTCATGTTGAAATCGATTCACATTAACATTTTATTACAATATATATAACATTGTTTTGTAGAATTCAATATCTAGATAGTAGTAGTAGTAGTAGTAGTAGTATTAATGACATTTCAGTGTCTGACAATTACACAATACATCAATAACCAGTTTATTATCTCATCAATCTGCCGAATGTTCTGATCAGTAGTAGTAAACACTTTAATGTATTGTCTTAGGCTAGAATAATATAACGAGGTTATATTTGTTGATCTCCCTTTTATTGATTTTTACAACTAATATTATTACTACATGATTAAACTTATTATTATTATTTTAACCATCAGCTACTAACAACTAATATATATATATATATATATATATATATATATATATATATGTATATATATATCAGTTTCCTGATAACACCATATTCACTCATAACTTACCATGAAATCAGTCTTTCAAAATCAAAACAAACTCGGTTATTTTTTATACATTAAAAATGTGACTGTTTTAGATAAAATATGAAAGAACAATTTAAAAAAGAATCTCAGCACATATTATAGTAGGATAAAACGGGTACATAAATCTGAATATAATGTCTTTATATAAATATATAATAGTTTTGTTTTTAGATCAAAAAACACAAAGCTAAAACATGATTAATTTGAATACATCAATGATATTTGAATGGATAAATGCTTTTCATTTATTTACTCAGTAAACTAACCATTTTTTTTTCAAAGCAAAAAAATGAAAAGAAAGTAGATTGAGCATTATTCATTTCAATTTGATGTAAATGAAGACACACGATGATGACAATAAACGATCCCAGGGTTATAATGATGCTTTTAATCATATTGAATCTTGAAAGTATTTCATTGAGTAGATTATATAAGATAGAAGGAAAAATGTACAAAATTATGAAGTTTACATATATGACATTTATTGATTTATGAACTTCTTTCTAAGCAGAGTACACTTCCACTGGTGCATTGTCTTCATTCATTTCATGTTGTAACATACGAAGACGTTTGATTACTTCAAATATAATTGTACATGAGAAAAGTATTGAATAGATTGGGAAAAGTGAATAAAAACTTGGTTCACCATATAATGTCATTTTTAACATTAATGGTATAATAACTATTAAAATAAATATTAAAGTAGCATAGATGAAACATATATGCTTGTATGAAGGAGATTCCGACGATGAAGATGATGATGATGACAATAAAACACTACAGAAAGATTTATTGTCTTCCTTAGTTGCATTTGATTCTGGTTGTATTAGTGAATCTGTACGGCAAGTCAACTTCATGTATTCAGGCATCGAATAGAAAGAAGGTGAATGAAAAATAAAATATCTATGTTGAAATAATTTAATTGATTAATAACGCTGAAGGTTATTTGTACTTCTTATTGAATAATCCTCACTTTCCCATAATCCATGGTATATTACTGACTGCTTATGACTATAAGTAATTACGACTAATTTATAAAAGATTTAATACTTTTCAGAATGTTTGATCAAGTGAGAGTATTGATCATTTAATTACTTAATATCTTAGTGCACCGATGTAAATATGTAGGCGTTTAATTTGTTAGTTGAATCCAATCATGTAAATATATAGGTAGATAGATACATGTGTGCATTTCTTTGACTTGGTGTATTTGCCTCTAATCATATGACGTAATCATAATAATTTATATTCAACTATTCACTAGTATAGTTACAGGTCAATCAAATAAAAGCTTACAAAATTATCTCTATTGAATGCGTTGATCAGTTAATAAACTTGAAAATGATAAGTATCAATATCGAATAGCTAGATTACACATATCTGATAGACTTGAGAATAAAGTTTGGTAATAAAATGCAATACTAATGCATGAACGTGGTAAGCTGTTTTCATTACAAAGAGGCCATTTTGACTAACAGTGCCCCTTACAAGCAGTAGCAAGAATTTGTCGAAACCTAGTAAAGATATATTAGACAAGTGAATAAATGAAGTTTACCAAGCACCACAACCATATGACCCAAGATAAAGATAACCGATAGCACCATCAAAAATAACAGCCAAAGTATAATACATAAAATCCATAAAACAATAAGTGTGAATTTTCGTAAAATTAATGGCAAAACTTGAGTAACACTTGCATTAATTTTCAGGTATGCAAAACATTTCACACTATCAAATTTTATTGCTTCATACAACATATCAGAAATTTTAAAATATATCACATCGACTAAGGCAACTGTCATTAACGTTATTACACATCTGAATAATCCAACCATAAATCCACTTTGCTCATATACCAGTGAATATCATACACAAAGTTAGCTAGCACTTCAGTTTATTCATGATGAAGTGTGAACACCACGTTAAGTGTGAAATTTACAACTCGATACACAGATTAATATTCAGCTAATTAAGCTCGATTTAGCCATTTCTTGTCAAAGTATTTCAACAAGATAAAAATGACCGTATGGAAACATTGGTTATCAGGTGAATTTACCATTACGCTTGTCACATCATTATAACCATACATTCGATGAGTAAACACTCAACATATTATGCATAAAATGTCCCAGAACAAGATGTTTGATTTTCATAGATAAAATCACGCATTGATCTTAGCTAGACTACTATTGAAAACTTGAAGTATTAGACAGCTAACCCATAACCTTGAACGCGGTAATCGGACACGAACAGCTAAACTTATACCAGTGAGAAGGTATACAGCGATGATAATGTCTGAATTCAATCAATCCATGATCCTGTGCAACTCTCCATCCAATGCTTGTTGCGGATAACTTGATCTGACGACAATAACTAGTACCGAATGGGAGCTCACTTAAGCGTTCCAACTTTACAAATATTGGAATAAACCATTCTATTTCAAATTTGATCCAACTAAACAACTATTCATGCTGAGTACACTTCTAGATTATCAAAGTAACAAACTATGGGGATGTAAAATATTAGAGAGCCCAGATGAAAACAGTGTGCTTGGTGACAATTTTTTATCTATCCATTGAATGAAAGAAAGACGAATATACTTACATTCAAAAATTGTATATTTAGTGATAAAAAAATTTTTTTCTTCACTGTTCACACTTGGCGAAACAAGTATGCATCCATGTTATAATTCTTTCGTACTTGTCATTATTCTATCAAACTCGAATAATATGATATTAAGCATGTATATTTGTAGTAAATAATTATTACAACTATATCCACAGTTTGTAAGTAACTGACGAGAATCCACGAGATAAATAAATTCCTCTAATTCTACTACGTTTACTGTATGTGATTGAGTCAAACTTATCAGAGAGAAAAAAATGCATGAAAATTGATAGTACTAAATACAGAGATAATAATTATTTTCAGATTACTTTTCAGTTAAATCGATTTCTATTATGAAATGAAGTTAAATTCTGTTATAAACCAGTCCTCAAAACATAATATTACTACATTTATTTTATAATAATTTTCAAACTATATTTCTTATCATTGTTCGTGTTCAACGGGTCAATACTGCTAAATACTCTAAGTTGATTATTACCATATCTACTTTGAAATTGACTGACAATCTCTTAAAAATATAATGAAATCTTATTACCTCTACCATTCTGATTGTTAGCTTGTCTAATCAGGAGAGTTAATAAACCTAACAATAATGATACAAATTCATCTCTTAATTTTTAAGGGATTGGTCTACCAGTAGATTCATTTGTTGACTTGGAATCTGCAGACCAAATTTGAAGACACTGACAAAGTGCAAGGCCTTTTGACTACCATAAACACTAATGCAAGCATGCTTAGCTTGCAACTCTCTTCAAATTCAAACTGTTGCTTCAGGATTGGCTTACGTCAGCTCCCGAACTAGTGATAGGGAATGTAGTTTAGCGTGTTGACCACTTCACTTGTCTTCAAAGTCTCGTCAGATCTGATGTGACAAGATCTCAGCACGCGGTTGAGATATTCACATGGACTCCAACCAGGTAGTGTACACCTAGCTATATGGCTCAGTATAACAGTCAGTGTCTTGATGGATCGACCTCATATTTTAGTTCCGCTGCTACCATCTCTCTCCCACAAGAACTGCCGTCGAGTTCCGACGTAGAAGGTGGATGGACACACGTAACAGATGTCCTAATATCTCAATCGATGAAGATTCATTACCTCGTTGATGGATTTGTCATCCTTACCTAGTAATCTGTTTCTAACCTCACAATTACTAACTCGATGGTCCCAGAATATAGAGGTATTGGTTCGAAGACAGCTATGATTAAATATTAGTAACCTAAGAATACCTAATTCCATAGTGCGTTTTACAACCACAAAGGAGAACGAACTAGGCAGTAGACTCGTCCTTTAGTCAGCAAAAGGACGTCCCACTTGAGCCACAAGTGATGTAACTGTGCTAATTCGTATCAAGATTTCATCGGACACCGATCTATCAGAGCTGAAGAGACTTCCAAGACAAGAGAAGTGATCGACAACCAACTATCTCACTCTCTATTATTAGTTCAGGGATTGACATAAACCAGCCAAGATGAGAATTTTCGCATTTTGCTTCAGGTGGTTGGAATACTACTCGTTTTGTCAGCTTTTTCATCAAACAGAACTATATCTTCTACAAATTATAAGTCAACAAGAGTATCTCCTTGTAGACGGATTCCTGATACATCAGACCGGAAGGGATTTCTACAATGACTTTGATTTTAGCCAACAACATATTAACGAAGATATCTGTTGAGATCGATCCCGCCGAATTTCAATTTCAAGTAGTGCTTCTACCGTATGAAAAGCTGCTGATGTTATGCTCAAAACTTTTTCAGGATAATGACCACTTTTGAAAGTGTGCTATTACATGAGATAACTATTCTAAACGAAACTAAACAGTACATTATCTAATGTTCGTTAATCATAACTTATCTATACCCAATGGAATACTTAAAAGCAATTACTTTAGTTATGAATGGTTTACGAGAATGCAGATGTATGGGCGGCTTGCTAGGTAGAACACTCACGAAATGAAACGATACACATTGTATAAGATGAAAATAAATCAATATAATTTATTATTACTATTGAAGTCTATATACAGGATGCGATTTGTTAACCCTTTTTCAACAGGAAATTGTAGGCTTCTTGATCAAAGGTATCCTCTAACTGTTCTTGCAAAGTCAACTTTGATCGAGGGGCGCGTCTGAGAAGACGTTTCTGTCTTTCTTCTGGTGAGCATTCATTTAAATCTACAGGCATCTGAAGAATACGATCGGACAAAACGTAAATATGAATGTATTTCAAATAAAAAACGAAAAATTTCACAAAAATTACTCAAAATTTAGGATATTAACATCGAATTATGATCCACATGTCTATATTAGCATTACTGACTATCCGTGACCAGCAGAGGGCAAGTAATCAAATCTCGAGACTGAAAGAATATTTAGTAGTAACTCAATAACAGAGTTCTGATCTACAATTGTTAGCACCTAAAGATACTTACTGACACATTAATGGGGAATGCAATGTATCAAAAAGACTTTCCGGGTTCATCAGATTGTAGTTTAATTGGCTATTAACAACTGGTTCAAGAAGCTGAATAAACAATTCTACCATGAGGATAATCTAAAATGTTGAGAATCTTTGATTTCTCAAATGTTTTTGGTCACCTTTCTATGGACGATAGAACAGTTACTGATTCACTAGGTGCCACCTCATGGACTAGTCAGTCAGTCAGTCAGTTGCAACGTAGAACTTCGTACGTAAGTACATCAGTTCATGTCGCCATACCACATCAGCACAGAGATCTAATTGTCAATTCAAATCCAATAGTAGAAGAGGTAGTAAGGGTATTAGAAGTAATCGGAGAGGTTACGATTAGAAGATATTATTCAAGAAGTATGATTCAATGAGATAAGTTTAGAAAGTAAAAACTAGAGATGTTGAAGAATCCAGAAGATTAAGATTTGAGAGAACACAAAGAATAAATGCACCGGCGCCATTGCGAACGATTTTGAGCCATGTCATTCAAGGTCTCTAACCATCAATTATTATCATCTCGCGGACCCCAACCAGGTAGTCGACAATTACCGACATGGCTAAGTCCACTCGTCAATGACTTCATGGATTTATGCCATGTTTTGGTCTGGCCGACCCTAACTTTCTTCCAACCTATTCCTACACTACAAAACAAAGCTCGACGAGGCAGTCGGTGGTTGGGCATACGCAACACACGTCCCAACCACCTCAACTGATGAAGTGTCATTACTGCGTCTATTGATCTGCCATTCTTACCTAGCACTCGATTCCTAATAACAGCGTTGCTCACTCGGGTGTCCCACGATATACGAGCAATGCTTCGAAGAAACCTATGATCGAAAACCAGTAACCGACGAATATCTTCCACTCTCACTGGCCATGTTTCACAGCCAGAAAGTAAGACGGAGCGAACTACTGCGCAGTACACTCGTCCTTTAGTCAGCAAACGGATATCTCGCCTACACCATAAGTGACGCAGGTTGGCAAAAGCCAATCGAGCCTTCTGTATCCCTGCCGAGATTTCGTCAGTCACCAGCCCATCGGCACTGATGAGACTCCCAAGATAAGTGAAGCGGTCTACACGTTCGACTACTTCACTCCCTATCACTAGTTCAGGTCCCGACGAAACCCAATCTCGAAGCAACATTCTGCATTTCGAGGGGGAAAACCGCATCCCGAACATGCTTGCATTGTTGCTTAGGGTAGTCGGAAGACTCTGCATTTTGTCAGCGTCTTCACCAAGTAGGACTATGTCATCGGCATATTCTAAGTCAATAAGCGAGCCACCTGGTAGAAGGTCTACTCCAGAAAATTCAGACGAGGATAAGGTTATTTCTAGGAGCATGTCTATGATAAAATTAAACAAGAATGGAGAAAGTGGACATCCCTGACGGACACCACTTGAAGTAAAGAATTCCGGTGACAGTTCGCCATAAGCCCTCACTCGACCAGTGGTGTTTGAGTAGAGAGCTTGTATGAGGTTAATGTACTTATTTGGTACACCTTTCAATGACAGACACTGCCACAGAACCTCACGATCCACTGAGTCAAATGTCGCTTTTAGGTCCAGGGAAACAACTATTGTAGGACACCTAAATGTGTGTCTGTGTTCCAGGACCTGTCGTAGTGTGAAAATGTGGTCTATACAACCACGTCCAGGTCGAAAACCAGACTGGTTTTCTCGAGTTTGCTCTTCACGAGCTTTCGTTAAGCGTCGAAGTATTACTGAGGCCAATATTTTAGATACTGTATCAGTTAGACTTATTCCCCTGTCATTGTCACAAGAATACTTTTGTCCTTTCTTATATACAGGGACAATCAGTGATTGAGACCAGTCGGATGGGATTACGTCCAGTTCCCAGATTCTACCTAAGATCTCGGTCAACCTAGTTGCTAAAACTGGACCACCATCCTTAAATATCTCAGGGGTCAGTCTATCAGGACCCGCAGCTCGTCCTCGCTTCAGATTTCCTAACGCTTTTTCAACTTCATTAAGTCTAGGCGCACTTACGTCGATTTGCCACTCAGGATGACTGGAGATCGTGGGTAACAACCGAAGAGTGGCTCGAGGCCAGTTGAACTGATCCCTAAAGTGTTCTGCCCATCGATCCAGTCTCCTGGATTGAGAATAAATAATAGTCCCATCATTTTCTGAGATAGTCTCACTTACACTAGCATTCCTAATACCAGTTTCCTTGATAAGTCGGAAAAGTTGTCTATTGTTGCCGATCACCGCTGCCTTTTCCATCGCTTTTGCTTTTGCCACCCACCACTGTTCGCGATCGTTACGTAGGCTTTTTATAAGTCTGCGCCTAAGTTGACTTCGTTCTTCATCATTCTCAGAGCCAGGTGGGATGAGTTTTCGGGCATCCATCAGTTCGGTGGATGCTACTGAGATCCACGGCTTCATTCTAGCCTTATGGTCAACCTCACTAGCAGACCTCACTGCTGTTTCCACAGCCTTTTTGATATCATTCCATCCTGCTTCCAGATGGGAATCGCCTAAATGGTAGCCTGTCTTTCTAGTTGTTCCTGAAATATATTCTTCGCCTTATTATCATTAAGTAAAACCCTAAGAGGCTTTCTTACAGCGTCTTTCCTACGCCCAGTAAGCCTCAAACAAATACGCTCTCGCACTAGGGCATGATCTGAATCCAAACATGTGCCCCACAACGAGCGACAGTCTTCTATCGAACCCCTCCATCGGTGGCTGATGGCGATGTGATTTAGTTGCGTCCAACGTTGAGACGACTTTGGAGGTCGCCAGGTCAACAGATGCTTTCCCTTATGCCTAAAGTTAGTGTTTGCTAAGAATAGGCGATTGTCTGAGCATACTTGCAACAGATGGTCACCATTGTCTGTTCTCTGAGTCGCGACACCATAACATCCAACTAGGTGTCTTTCATTTTCACTTAGTCTACCTACTTGAGCATTAAAGTCACCAGCCATCAATACTATATCAGAGCGCCTAGCTTTTTGGAGGAGGTCCGAAAGCTTTCTGTAAAACTCATCTTTCACCTCGTCTGAACTGCAGTCAGTGGGGGAATAGGCAGATACGATGAAGAGGCAACGGCGATTGTCCCTATCTTTCCGAGTTCTTACTGTCCCATTTAGTCGGACAGCGCACAAGCGACTATCTACTGGGACCCAGTTAAGGAGAGATTGTTCAGCTCTACGACTCAATGCTATGCCTACGCCAGCGAGACCCCTGGAAGCAGCATCAGGGCTACCGGATACACGAAGAGTAAATCGAGCTGCTTCTTTATTTTGACAAGGTGAAATCAGATTAATTTTACTAGGATCCTGTATGCGCGTTCCCGAGACGCAGCATACATCGATGGAACGAGATTCTAAAGTCCTAGCTAATGATGCCTGTTGCCCTATTTGACACAATGTCCGTACATTAAATGCTCCAACATGTAGTCTAGAACGGGGTTTAAGGAGACCAGGAACGACGTTTCACGAACCCGTGTCGTCTGCATTAGCTGTGCACTGTGATAAATGGATGTGAAAAGAGTTAGTCGTGGAGATAAGAGAGGTACTAGGGGGTGTAGGAAGGATTTGATTTTGACCAATTTGGTCTCGCGTGGTGTTACGGGTATGAGGGCGGTTGTCACTTCCCGGCGGCCCACACCGTGGAAGGTTGTTTCTTGAGGAACCTGAAAATGAAAATAGATTAGTGTTGGTCTTAGAGACCTGGGTGCGTGACCGCAGAGCCCAAGGGACAACTGCTTGAGGCCGGTCATGCACGGCCTATTTATGAAAGGTTTTTTGAGGATTAGCTTCGTTCTTAAAGGCCTTTAGTGGGCACCCTTACCCAAGGAGACGGAAATCCGTGAGTTAGGGGAGATGTGACATTTTTAGGGCCGACCTTTTCTAACCCTTCCTTCCTTGTGAGAAGGCAGCATCTCTGCAGATGCTGGTTGTCTCATCGTTCTCCAATCGACCAGCCTGGCATGGTAGGACCTGCAGGAACATATGTTCCAGCCAGTATAGCTCGGTTGGGTCATCACGATAGGCAAGCCCGACCACCACGTCAAGGTAGCAGCTAAGGCCGGGTCATGGACTATGAAGCTAGTGTTTACTCTTTTGTGAGAATTTCGCCACATGACCTGTTAGTATTTATTGCCGTATAATCAACTGCGAGCTCTATGCTACTGACCGTTTAAGTCCAAGATTTAGTTAATAATGTGTAGTTGTCACTGAGAATAAAACTTCATTTAGCTAATTTTAATAGAACTATATGATTCCGCATATTTAGCAAACAGAAATAGTAAATGCATACAGAGTTTAAAAGTAATACTTGCTTTTGAACGGCTGAGAAATACACTTACTATTGTCTACACTGCTCTGTAACAGTCGTTTTGCACTATAAACGATGGTATTACTCGTCAGTGTAAATACCTACAATATAACTGGGTTACCAAAAGAGTTCGCTTGACAGACACGACTTAACAGTCAAATTTTGTGATTTTCATAAATATTCTTGCAATAATTCAGCAGTCATATAAACGGCTCATTAAACATATACAAAACCGAGTTAGAATTTTGGTAAACCAGGCTCTAGGTAAAAGCACCAAGTTTCAGAGCTAAAAAACAACCCTACATTTTGGAGACTACGTAAGAGCTTATCTACCTGAGCAATAACATATCGTTAAGTTTTTTTCAGTTTAGCTTCATCCTACGATGGGAACGTAAGTTTGCGATAAAATACATGAAGACGCTTTTTGAGGAGAGATTTTAAGAAAACTGACCTGGAGTATCATTCGAGGCTCGTGAAATTTAATACGAATGGAGCCACCGTTAGGATAAATAAGGTTAACCGGATAAGAACGTTCATATATTCGTCGTTTGGTACGGGATAAAACAGCCCGATTGGCATCACATCTACAGGGCAATCTATCATTTCGATATAGAAATTTTGGACGAAACTTACGCTAACGGAAAGAGGTTACGCGTACCCAGGATCTTAGTCCAGAGAACCATGAATGTAATGGGTATCAACCCGCCACCACTCACATTTGATTACTCAAGGTCGTCTGAGTCCGTCGACAGTACCAAAGTACGAAAACCTACAGACTTCCATCTTCGTTTATCCTCTAAAAAAATTAGCTGACAGAATATTACACTACTTGTGTATTCAAAGTATATAGGAACTGTAATTTGTAAGTGAATTAGTGTCCGTTCAATCCCTCAGTGTTTTTTGTTTGTCTAACAACCTGTCTGGTCATCAGGTTTGGGTCAATATAGCTTGTAACACCAATGAAAATTCTCAGGCGGACATTTAAAAGTAGAAGTATACGTTTGTTGTCATTTACGCTGCAGAAAGACTAATCAAAACCTTTATTTATCCATTTTGGCCTGGATTTGATTGATCATTACAATATATCTGGTTTCTGATGGGCAAAGCGATTGTGGAGATGGCATGACAAACTTATTTTGTAAACAGTTTTTGATACTATTTGTATTTATTTTGTTAAGTTTCACAGCTTGTACGTTCACTATGACAAGTGAGTCTATACCATCGAACCAATATGTCAGTTATCTCGTCAAGGTATATGTTTAACAAGTTGAAAAGCTTCAAATTACTGCAATCCCTAGTCTATGTGATTTATCATTTATACTATTCTCTATTTCCAATTTATGGACCTTGCTGTTTTACTTCGTGTGTCTTGAGAATTATTTTCTCCCAAACCATTTCATATCTCAGAATTAGCCAGTTTAATAATACTGAAAGTAGGTGGTGAGTGGATGCAAAGTAACATAAATACGCCCTATAATTCCATGAAAGAAGCAATTATTTAAGACTTATCTGTGAATGACCAAGAAACAAAAGGACAGTCACGGAGAATGCTCACCAACTAGCACCAAACAAATTAGATTTTAGTAAGCGTAAATTTGACAATTTATTTGCTAAATGTATTATTCGTCCTTCTCACGGTCCCTGGGCCTCCCCCCTAAACATCGTTTTCAGGAAACGTTGCGTTCTTAGGGACCACGTGGAGAGTACAAAGCATTGAAGGTAGCTACTCAGTTTGATGGCTATCCGATCCCATACATACATGACATCACTGTATCACTTAAAGGAACGACCATCTATCAAAATTTACAAAAGGGACTAATTGTTTAAATTTCCTAAGATCGATCTGTCACGAGCTTATCTCCAGATCCAAGCTTCTCTGGGGATGTTTGTACAAACGGGATAATACCTAACCTGGACAAGTGCGAACTTGGGTAATCATAAGTGAAATTCTCAGGTCGTTGCATGAAGCAGGCGGGTATTTTACCTAGTGAATGCCCTAGTACGTGCAGTAATAGAGTACACTGCATCTCCCATACTCAAAGAACTAAAGGCAAGGCGATTACAACTGCTAACCGATTTACTTCACGGTAATCCACATAAACTAAATCTAGACGATGCCGCGCGTACTGCGTTTGCAGAACTCAAAACATCTTTGGCACAAGCCACATTCCTCACTTATCCTGGCCCATCATCCACGCTCAGAATAGCAACTGATCCACCGGATTTCGCTATTGGAGCGGTAATGCAACGGAACAAATCTGGAAGTTATCAGTCTCTTGGATTTTTCTCACGACGCTTTACTTCCAAGGAGATGAAAAAGTGCTTCTGGTTGACTACCATTAGCAGCCTACTGTGCCTCAAAACATTTTCAGTACACGATAGGTCCAGATTTCATGTTATTCATATACCACAAGCCACGAACGTAAGCTATGCATGCCAAATCTAATCGTTACTCACCAAGAGGACGCAGACATTTAGATTACATCTCCCACGTCGCGACAGACCATCATATTAAAGGCGAGTCTAACTATGTTTCTTACACTCTTTCATGTATCCAACTAAATGCAGTTACTACACCTGTGCTCAGTCTCCCAGCTATGGCTGCCGCCCAAGCAAACGATTCTTCTCGAACGGAATGAGCACTCTTGATATCCCTTCAGTGACTGAAAGTACACCTAGTCGCTATCCTGTAGGATGTTTCCATGTGTCTACCTCGACCCATCGTAACTTCAGCTTGTCGTCGTCTCGTGCTGGGCAAACTACATGGCATGTCTCACCCAGACATCGCAATCACTTTAGACCTCATCGCTTCACGATATGTCTGGCCGTCCATGAATAAAGATGTTCGTACGTGGGCAAAGCAACGCCCATGTCAACGATCTGAGGTGCTTAAGTACGTAGCTGTCCCTATTGGCACGTTCACTACGCTTGATTCTCTCTTTGATCACGTTCGCCTAGACATTATAATACAATTTCCACCCTAACATTGGTATGATCACGTACTTACATGCGTCGACAGCTTCATTGGATGGACAGAAACTATTTATATCACATCTGTTACGGCGGTGACCATTGCCCGCGTTTCGCAGAACGATGGATATAGCTATATGATTGTCCATCCACTGTTAAGCAGTACGAGGACAAAAATTTGAGTCCGGTGTGTTGCCCCCGCTGACCCGGCAGCTTTGTGCGGAGCACATACAACATGACCATCCAACTACGCCTTCCATACTTATGATCATGACACTAGATATCATGGTTGCTTCTGGTTTTCTGGCTCAGTCTGGTTCCGTCCTACGTCTGCAGCGTTTTCTCACCCTACACTTTTGAACCACGACTTCAGATTCTGGATGCACATATGGCACGTACTCCTGGTACCGTTCTACGCAAAAGACCTCCGTGAAAAACTCGGGCATCATGGATCGCTTTCTGTTAGTCAACCCTCACGTCCTACAATCACACACTTGCTGATTAATGCCAACGCAACGTCGCGAAACTGTTCACCCTTTCTAGCAGAGGGCTTCTTTAGTGACTTCACTTCTACGCAGAAAAATAGGATTGGTCAAACAGCAATATTCATTATAATAATTGATTGCACCAGTGAATGCAACATCGAATATTTGATTATTCGTACTTTTATTTTATGGATTGACGCTTCTTCTTTTTCGAAATATAGTGGCGTTACACTACAGTCACGTTGCTTTCCTCTTTCCGGTCGCCATCATGCTATGATTGCTCTGAATACTCGCTTATTCTCTGACACGTTTCGTTATTTCTTCAATACCACGAAATCGCGGCAAATACATCTATTGCATCTAATCTATCCCGTCTTCTTGGTACTGAACTTAACTTGAATTCAGACGTGTTCATGTTCATGATGTTGTTCAGAGGGACAATTTAAGCTCCACGACCAAAACATCCAACTCAAATGACGATACTCCACCACACTGCTAGGTCAAATGTCGGCAGTTAGCGATACCAGTATATATAAACTGTTTGGAATTCCTGAATATGTATGTAAATAGATTAAGTATAATCTGTCCTTTCAGTAAGCCGGGCACGTACGATAAATAAATTCAGAACTGTAACAAATGGGTGGATATGTTTTGCTTCAGAATCGTTCCTTTAGACAAGGGAGACGAATTGCGGACTTGATCACACATTACATCACAAAACGGACTTCATAAGCCTCCGATAGTAAATATACGTTGACAATTTGCTCGTGCGACTGGCAGTTTAATAGTCAAGACTAATATTGACTAACATCCTTAACTTGGTGAAGAATAAACAACCAAGAAAATAGTTTGGAGAACAAACTCTAAAGGGCGGAACTGCGGATTTATGGCGTACACGGGAACGAAATTTAGCATTTCTAACCCATTAACAGACAAGGTCAGGGCATTTATCCAACACTGATTTAAGGAGCTGCTGAGATATCAGGGACAAGAATACTTGAAAAACGATGGTTAATATTAATCTCGGATAATATACCACCCCTTTGAAAAACCACAGATGTAAATTTTTGGTACTTATTACTGGATCTTACTTTTTTGTGTTTCAACGATCGAATATTAGTTCGTTGCTGTCTACGTCTTTTCAAAACCGACTATATTGTTTGATAAAGGATCTGTGAGTGAGTTTTAGTGAGTGGGTCGATTCGAGATTGACTATACTCACCACTAAATACTAATTACGAGCCCATCACTGAAAAGATATATAAATCCAGGGTAAAGAATATGTTTGCTGGTTTCGAAATAACACCAGGGAAGTGAGCGAAATAAAAAACAGCTGCATGAACGATGGCAACAACACAAACAGAAAGTTGCGCGTTATTAAATATTATAAACAAAAAGTACAGTTAAAGAAACACTGTTAGAATTGGTCATAATAATGAATTTTCTCATTTCACCACCAAAACTACAGACCGGTTAATATCACTCCAGTTATATCACGTGTGATGGAGAAAGTGATAAAAGATCAACTATCTGATCACTTACTCAGGGAAGGTCACATTGACCCCTCTCAACATGGCTTCATTAGAACTAGGTCATGCACCACATTTCTTTTAGATTTCTTCAATGAGGTTACCAGCATACGCGAGCAAAAGCAACTAGTAATCGTGTTGTATTTTGATATCAAAAAGGCTTTTGATAAGGTACCTCACAGTCTCTTAATCAACAGACTTCAGTCCGTCGGTATTAGTGGCCCCCTGTTGCAATGGATTAGGTCGTTCCTCACAGATAGATATCAGATTACCAAAATCAACTCACATACATCTACACCTCGACCAATTACCAGTGGTGTTGTGCAGGGCAGTGTTTTGGGTCCACTACTTTTCATAATCTACATCAACAGCATATGCAGTTGTTTCAACACTGGTAAAACCTACCTCTATGCGGATGACCTAAAAGTGATTTATCAAACTAGCAAATCTGACTTAGGAAACTTGTTGCACACAATCCAGCACGAACTCAACACTGTAGATGTCTGGTGTAAGCAATGGAACCTTGTAATAACTACTGAGAAGTGTGGCTGGATGTGTTTCGGAGACACGTCTCCCAAATTAGATCTCATTCTCAACAGGAATGTATTGCCCAAACTCACATCCGTAACTGATCTTGGAGTGCATTATTCGCACAACCTTAACTTCTCCGAACATATCTCCAATAAAGTTTCCCGAATGAGAAGAATGCTTGGTTTCATCTTTCGTAACTTCCTTCATAGAGAATCCAGAACAATTCTCTATAAAACATGCGTAAGACCTATTGCTGAATACTGCTCTTTCTTATTTTCTAACGTACGCCTGTCTGATATGT